AGTTTCCCACATGGCTATTCAGACAGCATTTCTTTAAATAATCTGTCACTTTCTCACTTCTTCTTGGCTTTCCATCATTCACATATTCATATACTTGTTGGTGTTCTGTAGGTGCCTTATCCTTTCATTGCTGTTACTTTTTGTTCTTCTAGCTAATTTTGAATGACCTGTTAGCATTTGCTAACTCTTCTGGATGATTTAGCTTGCCATTCAAACGTTACTGGATTTTTCAGATTTGTCATTGTATTCTTGAGCTCCGGAATTTCTGTTTGGTTCTTTTTTTATGGTTTCTATTTTTATTATTAACCTTTTAACTTTGTCCATATAGTGTTTTTTTTTAATTTTTAAAAAAATTTTTAAAGAGAATAAAAATAATAAAAAAAAAAAACCCATTAGAAACAATACAGAATTTCACTAAACAAGATGATAGGAATTCAACAATGGTTGTTATATTGCGTATTGTTGTCTTCAAATTAGTTGTGTCCATATAGTTTTCCTAATTTCACTTAGCTGTCTATGTGAATTTGTTTTGCACCTCATTGAGCTTCAGTAAGGTGATTAAAATTCTCTTTCATGCAATTTATAAATCTCCATTTTGGGGGTTCAGTTGTTGGAGATTTTTAGTTTCCTTTGATCACTTAATGTTTGCCTGATTCCTCGTTGCCCATTTGGCTTGTGTTGGTGTCTGGCATTTGAAGGAGGAAGGACCACTACCAGGCTTGACAGATTGGTTTCAGCAGGTGAAAGACTTCTGTAGGTTTCTGGGTGGATGGACTGCCTCTTGGATCATGGTTGAACACAGGTGGAGCTGGGTCACATAGCTGCCACTGTGTCTGAAGTGGCAGGCAGGCCTGTTACCAAAGGTTTTTGTGGGCATGGGCCTTCCTTGGTCCCTGGTCCATAGAGATGGCGTTGGGATAAAGGCCTAAGTCAGGATTCACAGAGAGTGGCCTTAGTAGTAGATAATGCATACAGCTATGCTTCCTCTGGGCTCCTGGGAGGGTTCCTTTTGGGTCACTGGGTGGGTCCTTGGGCAGAGTGTAGTGCCCTGGCCCATGGTTGAGAGAGGATGGAACTAGGTAACAAGGCTATTTTCGAGTCCACAGCCAGAACTGAGCTCAGAGACGTGGCTCTGTCTTCCTCTGGCCCTGTGCCACCAGCAGGGTGGATCTCTGATTACTGCTGGGAAAGGCTGGAGTCAAGCCTTAGATCTTTCTTAGGGCCTGCTGTAGGATTAAGATTGGCAGTCCTGCCCTGCAGACTCAGGTAGGCATGTCTCTGGCACCCTGGCCCATTGGCAGAACTGGTCTCTGACCACTGCTGAGTGGGGCTAGAGTCAAGTTTCAGAGCTATTTCTGAGTACACTTCCAGAATCAACATTGGCAAGTCTGTCACCCAAGTTATGAGCCGGGGGTGACTCTTTCCAGGTCCCTGGGTGGATGGTTCAGGAGCAGGACCAAGGCCCAACAGAGCTGTAGCTTTCTGTAGAGGTCAGGCCATTTCCAGATCTGGAACCAGGGCCATGGTTGGCAAATCTGCCACGTGGGTGTAGTACCTAGGTCATGGGCTGCACCAGGGTTTCACAATTTCCTACCTGGATTGCAAAGCTCCCAAAAGGCATTCTGTCCACAGATAACGGCAAAATTATTGCTGTTGGTGGGGAATACAAGGGAGATACCTTTTATTTTTCTATCTTGCTGAAGTCACTCTGCTATTTTATTTGAAAGTTTTAAATTTCATTAAAGGTTAAATGAATGCCAAATCCGTGACAGGTAGTCTGTCACAGTTTGTACTGTGTTAACTTGGCTAAACTACACTTAGATTTCCTGTAAACCTAAATTTTGGTTCCCTAAGTTCTTTCCTCACCGTTTGTAATGCAATCCACTGTTTGTGTGGGCATGGTTCTGGGTCAAAAGTGGCCTAAAGAGGAATTTATACACTATTTGGCAGGTGGAATTCAAGCTGAAGCCGTTACTCTGTAAAAGCTATTATGCTTAGATGTGCTAAGAGCCTGCAGAGAGAGGCCAGTGGGTCCCAGCTTCTTCCCACTTCTCTTCCATGTCCAGTTCTTCCCAGCTGCTGACCCTACTGGAAAAGGCCCTGCGTCCACTGTGAAGTGCTTGGCAGTATAGTCTCAAAGGCAGTTGCTGCTCAGAGGCACAGCTTCCTACACACATTCCTGCGTGATTCCTCCCATCTCAGTGGGGTAGTTGGATAAGGTTGTATCTTAGATTAACTGGTGTGACTCCTCTGATCCTTCAGTTTCTCTCCTTAACTGTCACATCCCCAGTTACGTCCCCAGTTACACGTCCCCCCAAGATATAACAATTCCTCAAATAAATCCCTTATCTTGACTCTGATAGTGGCTTGTCTCTCACTGAACTTTTTTTTTTTTTTTGGCTTGCACAACGTTGATAAGTCATCTCAGAATGCAGGATTTATAAATACATAAACATCCGTGAATACTTTTACAGTGACAGCTATTGGAAGGATAAAGACTTAAAAAGCCAATCCAGACAGATTCCTTTTTGGGCCAACTACCTCCTCGCGTTGATACTAGCAAGGACTTTAAGAGCTGCTGCAATTAGTGTCACATTCATCCCAGCCTCCTTTCTGAACCTGTAGCAGATGACAAAAAATGTGGTAAATCTTAGCCTGGATGGCGCAGCCCAGGAAGGGGTGACTGGCTCAGAGCATGGACAGTGACAGCAGTTGTCACTGAACCTTGAGTGATACACAAAGGGACAGTCCTGGGTTTTATTTTTTAGCCTGTTTTGTCTTTTAGACCTCATGCTCCTTACATTTAGTTATTCAGTCATTATTTAGAGAAAATAATTTTTCTGAGCTAACGTGTTGGTTTTCAGATATTTGTAATCAAGTGAACTATACCTAATACCTTATGGCAATGTTAATGTGTTTCATTTCTGCACATCTATAAGCCAAGACACAGATTTCTTATGTTCCAAATGATCTTTTCAAGGATGAAAGACAGTGACTGTGGCTCCCTCTGGTACAAAAGCCATCTGTGCTTTACTGTCTATTATAAAATATTTGGTTCCCTAAATTATTTCTTCACTGATTGTAATGCAAGTCACTGTCTATGGTCCTTTTCACATCCTCCTGTGGGAGCTGGGACTCCAGGAACAGTGTAAAATGATGATACTTTGGCTATCGCTATGAATAATAAATTGTCTTTGTGTCTGACCTAAGAGCCTGACCCATGAAACTGTTGCAGGCTAACCTGTCAGCTTACCTAGAAGGTAAAATTTCAGATCCCTCATAGTTCTTGAAAATAACATCTTTTTGACTGGTATAATTTGGGTTGGTATAAGTACTATTCAGGAGGTTTTTCAAATAGAATAATGTACATGTCTATGATATTGAATCACATTTTAATAAACAAGTGTTAGATTTTTAAGAAATCAACTTATTACTGTGTAACAAGTACTTTATATGCATAAATATCCTTATTTCTCATTTGTATTAATAGACAAGAATTTGGTTGGATGCTTTGGATGTAGCAAAAGAGACAAAACTCTAGTTTAGGCAAAGAGGAGAATTTATTATAAAATTACAAAAGAATATTAAAGCCAAGAATGACAGTTAAATCCAGGCCTCAAGTTTGGTAGCCAATAACAGAAATCATATCTTGTGAGCTTAAGAAAAAAAAAAAAAAGACTTTACAATTAGGATCCAAGGATACCCTAGCAAGCCAAGGGCAGGGAGGATATCATGTTCTCCTGATCTCTCATCTCTGCTTTTCAACTTGCAAATGCTTCATTGTTCTCTCTTTGCAGATTTGCTGCTTTTACTTCTCAAGCTGCCTGGTAGGACATGGTGATGCACAGCCCCCAGTTTATGTTTCTTCTATTCCAGAGACCAGTCAGACAAAAGCTAGAATCTCTTATTTCCAACCCCAAATTCCTGGGGGAAGCCTTAGGACTTTGCCATCATTAGCTATAACTCCCTTCCTACCTGATACACAGGAAGACATGAATTTCAGGATACTAAGAGAGAGAGACCAACCAAAGGTTTTGTTTTTACTGCTCCTCGTGAAACAGCTTGCAGAGATTTAGGGATGGACAGGAGAGAGGTGCTCAGGACCCACCACACACTGTGTGGAATCGCCCAAGTGCATCAAGAGAGAAAGGTGTTCCAACTCCTTTACTATTTCCTGGGTCAGAAATTGCAGACCTGGGTAATACTGTTTATTACCTTATTTGAGACAAATTTTTTGCATTTATTGTTAATAGATGTGATTTATCCCTTGGGAAGGTATGAATAGGTCTTATGTTATTCAAGCATAAAAGGTAGTATTATACCAAATATTAATCAATCTTTTTTCCTAAGAGAAAGCAAAATAAAAAGATTGACCACATGGACAGTATTTAGGAAAGAAAAAAAGAGATTACATGATGGGTTCAGAAATCCCTCATAACCATACATTTTGGACCAAAAACCTCTTGTACTAGAAAGGAACTCTAACTCATCTAGCTTGACTCAGGTGATTAGGAGCCATTTTTATTACAGAAGGGTGAGGGTTGGGGGGCATTCTGAGAAACAGAGAAAGGAGAGGCAAAAGGAAATTATTCTCTGGGTTCTCCAGTGTTCCAGGGTGTCTTGTAAGAGCAAATTTATCTTGCTCACCAAAATCATGGCATGATAGGATTCAAAAGACAGGTGATTTGTGTTTTGTAAATTCAGAAAAGCTGATGGAGATATTTCACCCATACCTACTCACACTGAAATAAAATTGATATGTCCAAAGTAGAACAAATGCTGTGGATGTTTTATTAAAATACATTTGTGAAGATTTCTGTAAGTATTTCTCCTGCATGTTGCAAATACAGTTTTATTATTTATTTTATCTTTTGATGAGGTACGAGGAGTTAAGGTTAATATTCATGATACTACTGTAGTCCCCCCCCCCCTTTGTGGTGCTGGGGATCAAACCTAGGGTTTGGGCGTGCACGGCAAGCACTCTACCACTGAGCCACATCCCCTATAGTTCTTCCCATAGTTTTATTTATGGAAATAAGAGGCAGCAAGGGGATCAAGACCATTCTACAAAAAAGCACAAGAAAAGCAACATTAGCATGAACACGTTAGGAGACTAGAAGCTGGTAATTCAATTTTAACTTTACCTGATATACAAGGCTTCAAAAGAAAAAGAGCCGTTCACTATTATATTGAAAGCTTTGCATTTCAACTTCAGTGTTTCTTCATGGAAACATTTCCTTAATGCTGTCATCATTTTGATTCTCATACATCATCATAGTCATTACATTTTAAGTACATTCTTCTGGTGAAATTGTTGACAGGTATGAAAGTACTTTGTCCTCTAGGGTTTCCCTAGGGCAAGGCTCTGGAGAATTATATTCTGCTAGAGAATCATCAGAAAACCATTCTTCAGCTGCCTGTATACTTTGGCTACAATGAGAATCTGATGGTGATGTTGGTAAGTTTAACGAGACACTGCTGCTGTATGTTGTTGAGCTAATCTCTTGGCAGTCACAGACGACCTTTTCTGTTTCAGGGCAGAGTTTGTCTTTAGGATGATCTTTAATTGCTGTGAAAAATAGATTTACCGTAAATATTACATAGTGAGTTCAAGGCCAGCCTGAACTGCACAGTGAGCCCCTATCTAAAAAAAAAAGCAGGGGTGTATATTCTAAATAAGAAGAAAAAATCAATCTGTTTTAATAGAAAAAAATATTCTAATTAGGTTGGAAATCTAATTAGATTCTAGATTCTGGAAATCTAGAATCTAGTTCTAGAATGTTCCTTAAAATAATTTCTTAGTGGTTATGGCTAAATATTGCCTTATTTAATAAAACCAGTTAAAAATATAAGGTTCCTTCAGCAGGTAAATTACAAAATAGTCCACAGTGGGATGGACCTGGGTTGACCCAGTATTAATAGTAACAACATTCCTCAAGAGCCTTACAACTTAGATACAAAGCATTTTGACACACTTCTATATTTAATTTATCTTCTTGATAATTTTTTTTGGTGGGGGACAGGGTATTGCTACATAGCCCAAGGCAGGCGTCTAACTCGAAGTGATCCTCCTGTCTCAGGCTCCTGAGTGCTGGGATCACAGGCATGCACCATCACGCCCAGCTCTTCTTGAGAATATTTCAAGATAATTATTAGCATTGCTTTACAAAAGACAAAACTGACATTTAGAGAAATGAACAATCACAAATCAAATGCAAATTATATTTCAATTTATGCTCATTAGTCTTAAGTCTCATGTGTTTCCCATTATATCATTTAGGTTAGACGCTGGATATTAAAAACTGGTAAGTTTTAGAAAATATAGCATAACATCCTAAATATATTTTATAATATTTATATGTTAATTTTTATATTTTCCCATTAATTTTAAAGTTGCCATAAATAGAATTTGGCAATTCTTTTCCTTTAATTTTTTTTTAGTTTTTTTTTTAGACAAGGTTTCACTATGAAGTTCAGGCTGGCCTGGACTCACTATGTAGCTCAGGCTGGCCTGGAATGCATGGCAATCCTCCTGCCTCAGCCTCCTGACTGCTGACATTACAGGTGTGTTATTCATCATTTGTAAAATGATGTAGGAGATGATGATTTGAAGTATTAAGGTAAAATATGCAATATATAAAGTGTAACAAAAACTTCCCTTTTTGTTTTTGTTTCATTCTTGTTCTACCCTCTGCCCCTGCCCCCAAAAGGTTGAAAACTTCTTTTTTACCCTCAGGAATCATGCGTGACATTTTTGGGTTCAAATAGGAAAGAAAAATTAAAGTTTCAAATTTTAGGGTATGAAATTGAAAATTTTTCCAGGCATGATGGCCCCTGCCTGTAGTCCCAGCAGTTGGGAGGCTGAGGCAGGAGGATCATTGTGAGTTCGAGACCAGCCTGGGCTACAAAGTAAGCTCAAGGCCAGCCTGAATTGCATAGCGAGACCCTGTCTCAAAAAGACAAAAAAAAGTTGAAAAATTTTATTTTCTCTGAAAGTTATATGCCCACTCATATAATAAATTAACATTTCCCTTGAATTGTTATGGTATTTAAAATACTTAAAACACTTAGAATAGCCTTTTGATAACTTTAAAATATGAATTGCTAGATGATGATTATGATTTGCTTTAACAGATTATTGAGAAAAAGTACCTTTTATACATGCTTCTTTCTTTTTTTTCTTTTTTCTTTGCTCTTCCTACATAAAAGAAAGTATTTGTATTTTTAAAATGAAATAGCTTTTATGTAATTTCTATAATATATTTGATCTATGTATTCATATAAGGCTAATAAATTTTGACATTACATATTTTCACTGGAGAATTTCTTCCACAATGTGAAGTTTAAAAATATTTATTTATTTATTTTTGAGACAGGGTCTCGCTATGTAGTCCAGGCTGGCCTTGAACTCACTCTGTAGGCTAGGCTGGCCTCAAGCTCAAAGCGATCATCCTGTCTTAGCCCCCTGAATGCTGGGATTACAGGCGTGTGCCACAGTGCTAGGCCACAATGTAAATTTTTTCACCAAACTATATTGACAGAATAGAAAAAGTGTTGATTAATCACTTGAAAGGAATTAGGATTGGATCAAAAATGTAGATTAGCCCCAAAAGGGAATGAAAATATGAAATATGACTCAAACACGATTATCATTAATCAGTTACTTGGCTAACTTATTTAACTGACTAACAACAACAATTCTGGCTGAAGGCCTTGAATAAAATGGGAATATTCTCCTAAAACAAGTAAATCATTGCTTGAACAATATAGTCCAGATGTGTACTGGGAAGTGTTGTGGTATAATAGTTCTCCAGGTTCAGGGTATCAGAATCATCTGGTGTGCTTATTTAAGGGCTGAGTCTTTGGGCATATTATCAATTCCTACAGAAACAGTGGGGAATGGAGTTTGAAAGTACGCGTGGTAACATAACCTGCAAGGATTATAATTCAACTTTTCCTTAGACCAATAGATAACAATTGGCTAGTGCACAGGGTGTGTTTGGGATAGAGTGACAGAAGTCTGACACTAGAGAGAATAACATTATCTCTTGTGTTCTGGGGGGAAAGGTGTGAATATTTTCTGTTAATGTACATTGTTCTGTCTCCCGGAGAGCCTTATTTAGGCTACACTCATGCATTCTAATACGTTTCTTTTCTCAAAACCACTTTTGCTTCTTTGTCTTTTTTCACTTTTTACTACTAAGTGCCAGTATGTCTTCCTGAACTTACCATGCCTGGATTTAGAACTGCAACAGTAAATGGCCCCCCAGCCAGTATACTTCAGTTTCTTAGTTGCCCAGGTATAGTTCCTGTTGCAGTTCTGGTTGCTTCTGTCTCTTAGAAACAGTGGGTCGCTATGATGTACATGGTAGGAACCAATCAAAAACAGTCAAGTATTCTGTCTTTGTACTTCCGCTTGCAAACCTCATAAAAACCTCCCTCCCATGGCCTTGCCCAAAGGTTGCCCTGCCTAGAGATCTAAAATCAACCAAGTGCTTCTCAAAGACATCAAAGAAGAGGAACAAAAAGCCCATAGATCTGTCTACTATTACTGTTACCCAGAAACCCAATATAAGTTACTACTGTTCCCCAGAAACCTGATATAAAGACTATGGACATTAAAAAATAAATGTCCCCTCCATCTGTGAGACACAAAAAAAGCTGACTATCCAGGCCCACCTCAACCTTTTAGGCCTCAGTTGGTAGGATAGGCCAAGCTCTATCAAATGGGGCCTCTGAGAGCCCATGGTCGTTGCAAACATCATGTGCAAACCTGTGGCTTTCCTGGCAGACAATGGAACAGAACTCTCCGCCTTTTAAAGTTCCCTCTGTCAAAAAGTTAGCATCACTGGAGCAACTGGGACTCTTGCCGCTTACCCCTTCTGCCAGGCACAGACTTGTAGCCTGGAAGGACATCTCATTAAATACGAATTCCTGTGTAAGCCAGTCCCCATACTGTGTTTGCGAAGAGGCCTCCTCAAGTTAGAAAACACCATTTCCTTTGCACCAAGCCAGTCAGCCTCCCTCTTGTTTAACCCTGCACTTTCAACTGTGACGCTTCCCCAAGAGGAAATGATGCCTGCATCGGTCTGAGACAGATAAGCACAATCCTGAAGTTCTGAAAACTCTCTTCCCAGAGGTATAAGCCTCCGGGCTTGGCCGTCAACCATGCCGCCTCACTGCGACCCCCACTGCTATCAGATGTCATGGGAAGCACAAACAGGCGTCCAGCCACATGGCAGTTCGAGACCCTGATGGACTGGTATTTACCTTGCACTCTGTGGCTCCCACCCACACACGCTTTTCGGACGGTTACCTCCAGATGCCACCTGGCTTACATGTCTAGATTTAAAAGATGCCTTCCTCTGCTTGCTGGAGCAGAAGACGCATCACCCCCCCGCCAGGGTACTTCAGTCTGTTAGATGCCCAGGTAGTAGTTCCAGTTCCTGTTACTTTTGTTTCTTAGAAACGGCTGGTCACTCTGATGTATGACTGGTCACTATGACACATATTGTAAGAACCAGTCCCCAGCTGACGAGCCATTTTGCCTCTACTTCCTGCTTACTTATCCCACCTAAGCCCTAGACCACCAGAGATCAGGGCCTGATTTATGATCCCAATCAGTGCCTGTCAATGTAAACATATCTGCCTCCGAATCCTAGGTATCATTTCGGTGCTTCTGCTTGCCGCTGCATCTGATGTGTTGGCCAGGAAGACCGACTGTGATCTCTTTGATCATGGTTATGGCCCTCGTGGATGGAGCAAGGACCTCTCCAGGTCTCACTGGGAAGGTGCACCCTTGAGATTTCTTGAGTCCCCTCAGAGATTTAGAGGAGGATTCTTAACTCCCTGCTGAGCAGCTAACATTGGACCACTAAGGGAGGAGGGTGCAGTCTGTCTGCCTGCCTGATTCTGATAAAATCCCTTGGGACACCCCCTTAGTCTGTCAGTCCTGCTCAGCTTGAGCAGAAGGGGAGTCTGATCAACTCTCATTAGTCAGGACCAGCATCAAAGGAAGAGGGTTGGGATCTTTAACCTCTGAGCGCCTGCTGAATGAATGTGTGAGTGAGTAGAATGGACGGTATAAGCAATAGGCTCCTCCGTCTGTGCATCAAGACTGGGAAGCACTGGTCATGGTGGCTGGTTGGGTCCTCACCTGTTGCGGTTTGGGGTCTTTTGCAAGGGGAAACAATATAATACAGGACACATATTTTATAAGATTATTTATAATAGTTACCCAAAGAATCATATACAAGAGAGTACAGGAAATCTGTCCACATACTAAAGACCGAAGAATCCAACTGAGGGCCTGGATCCCATGGTAATGTCCTCCATGAGTCCACTGAAGACCTAGAGCTCATAACAATGCCTCCCACAGTCCAATTGGAGGCCTAGAGCCCATGATAATATCTCATGCAGGCCTGCTTCATGAATCTGCACTGGGAAGGCCCAAAGGTCAGTGGTGGAATCTAGAAAGTCTGTGCCAGTGATATGAAGGATCTGTGCTAGCAGGCTGAGGGATCTACATTGGAGCCAGGAAGTGATGCTCAAAATAGGAACCAGAGCTCCCCCAAAAAGTACCACCACCATCCTCAGCAACAGTGAGGTCCCGAGCTCCTCTGATAATCAGGACAGCTGAGTTCCCATCAGGGAAGCCAATGCAACAAACTTCTCCAGGAGACTGAGCTGTGCACCTTCTTCCCCTCTAGAGCCAGAAAGCAGTGCTCAAAATGAGGATCAGAGCTCCCCCAAAATGAACCAAAGCCATTCTCAGCAATGAGGTCCTGAGCTCCTTGGACAATGACAACAGCTGAGTTCATCAGGAAAGCCAGCATGACAAGCTCCTCCAAAAGAACCAACAGCTCCTTACAACTTCTCAACAGCTTCCAACAGGCTCCCAACAGTTTGTACGAGCTCCCAACAGCCTCTTCTTCTTCTCCAGTTCTGCCTCTTATGTTGCTGGCAACAATCCTCAGGCGGGCCTCCCACACCCAGCACCGTGCTGATTCAGTTCACCTGGGTGTTACAAGTTGCCCACCAGTTGTCAGTCCACCACATCTGTGGTTCTGTGGTGATGGACATATGGCATAATGGAGGCCTCACACCCTCCTTAGCTAAGCTGCACCTGACTCCCCTTGAGGGGTGTGGCCAGGCAGGCATTTCAAGGGTCTCTCTCTCTGAGGACACCTGCCCTTTGTCTGTTGTGCCATCATTCAAGGATGCACAATATACACGGAGGAAGTCAGCCATTGGAATTAATTAGTCAAAACCTACAGTCCCTAACTATAGGAAAAAGGGCTTTTCTGGTAATTAAAACAAACTGCTCTAAAAAAAAAAAAAAAAAAAAAAAAAAAAAAAGGAAAAAAGAGGCCCAATCTTCCTGAGAATTCTGCTTTGGCACCCTCACTGGCCACCATAGTTGCTGCCAAAAGTCCGCTCCACTAATCTACTTCCATCCAATTGAACGGGCTCCAGCTAACCACTACCTGCATAGAGGCCCTCCCCCTGAACCTTCTGCTTCACTGCTATGCCTATCTTGATCAGATGGTATCATCTACTACCCACCCAAGATCACTGTCAGCAATTTTTTCTGAGTTCCACATTTTGACTAAGGAAAAATTGGACTGTCAGCCCTGATGAATAATGGCCAGGGACATAGCTCAGTGGCACAGTGCCTACCTGGCAAGTGCAAGGTCCTGAGTTTGAGTCTCAGCCCCGAAAAAGAGAATGTGAGCCCTGATTAATGAGTTGCCATGGTCTTTCTCAAATGTCGCTCTGCCTAGAAATCTAAAATCAGTCAAGCACTTCTCAAAGACATCCAAGAGGAGGAAAAAAAGCCCATAGATATGTCAAAAGTTACTACTGTTACCTAGAAGCCTGATATAAGGACTATGGACACTAAAAAACAAGTGCTCCCTCCATCTGTGAGGCCCACTTCACCTGAACCTGTCCTTGCCCTGTCAGGCATGGATGGATAGGAGAGACCAAGCTCTATCAAATTGGGTTCCCAAGAGCCTATGGTCATTGCAAAAGTTAGGGGCAAACTGTGACTTTCCTGATAGACAATGAAACAGAACTCTCTTCCTTCAAAAGTTCCCTCTGTCAAAAAGTTACCATCACCAGAGCAACTGGGACTCTTGCCTCTTACCCCTTCTGCCAGGCACAGACTTGCAGCCTGGGAGGATGTCTCATTTTTGG